AACCTCTTTTGGCCACCCACAGACGCACAGAGCCAAGTCGTTACGTGTGTCTGTGAGTGCAGATATAACAGTTTCAAGGTCACACACTGGGATTTGGGAAGGGTGAAGGGTGGTGACATTGGATAGTGGCCGTTGGCCATGAGACAAAAGTGGGTATTCGGGGAGGGGGTCGGGCAGAAGTTAACTAACACACGGACATGTGTGTGCTGTGGGCTGCTCGGCAATTTCAAGTGCAAATATTGTATTTGAAAAAAGAAAAACATTATGCAATTAAAAGGCAATTTTGCCGTTACCCACTCACTGCTGGCGATTAGCAAACACCCGGGAACTCACATACAGCAAAAACACCCAATAAAAGTTAATTATATCAAAACGAATCAAATGGCTTCATAACTTCTAGATGAGGAGTTTTCTAATTTAAATTAAGAAATAGCTCATCTAAAAATATAGGTTGGGGCCAAAGAAATCACTAGGGTTTTGAAAAAATACCTATAATAATAAATTTACTATTTTTAATCGAAAAGCACGAGGGTTTAAACATAAAATGTCAATACTATAATAATAATGTATGTATGTATTGGTGTTTTAATAAAAAAGGGCGAAGGACGAGTTCCAAAAAAGTAATACATTCTATTCAACACATACTTATAGAAACATTTTTAATAATTTCAAAATTCTTGATGGAGCTTTTTGTTCATTACTAAAAAATTAAGTAAGAAAGTAGGTACCTACAAATATCTGTTTAAGTTATGTGTACCTAAGGCTTTAATGTTTCTATAAAAAAAGTACCTACAATTTTTAAAGGAAAATAATATTCCTTTCTAACTTTTTCAAATAGTTTTATAAAGCAAAAGCTAAATGAAAACATTTTAAATACAAAATCAAAATAACTATTATTACATATATAGTCTGCTTTAGGAACTCGCAATTACTAAAATGAATTTAATATACATATATCACAAAGCTTATGAAGATACACTTAATTCCAGGACCCACAATTAACCTCATTTAGCCAAACATATATTTCAATAGAAGGAGGTCAGTTTTGGCATGGTAAATTAAAGTCAATTTAGTGGTGATAGCCATGATGGCCGGTGCTCCGACCCAATAGATAGACCCGATGGAAACTTTAAGCTGTTGACAGTCTGTTTGTTTAGGGCCATGAACACGTCTTTGGCTTTGCCGCCCCTTTGCGGGGCGAAAGTAAATATTGAGTTTCGAATGGGTAGTTGAGGCGCGATAGAACAAAGGGCGGTCCAGGACTGGAGTGGCATCTGATGGTGACGTATCCTCCACTGGGCATCCTCTCCAGCACCCTGCCCCCAGGGTCGTGCGTGTATTTGGCAGTTGTGGCAGGAATCCGGACACAAGAAATATAAATTTAATCAAGTGGCCATCGTTTATTTCCCTTTTGATTTCGACAAATTCAATTGACATTCGATTTTATTATCTCCGCTCCCCAGATCCAATGACCCACAATTACTACACGCTTTGTAAATGCATTTCATAAATTTATGATGCCAGCAGATGACCATTTCCTCAAGGGATTGCCGGGGATATGTAATAAATGCGATTCCGACTGTTGTTGTACCAGTTTATTCGTATTGGAAATATTTCATATATCATCGTTTCCCACATAGCACGGATATCTCGTTTTATATCTTCTTTTTGCCATTTCAAGCTGGAATTTCTGTGGCATTTTTCCTTGGCACCCCGACCCTTTGTGGTTTCGCAACGTTTGCGAGGACAACAACAGTTTGCTGCCGTTCTGGCCACAGAACATAGATTTTAATTAAGTCCACTTTCCCCCAATTTAATATTTACAGAGGTGGTGTTAAGCATGGAAACTTTCCGCTATGTTCGGGGTACTCCTCTAAAAAGTCAGATGATTCGCCCGTCCCCAAAAATTAAAGTTCAAGTGGCAAGTAGCGCAAAGTTTTGACTTTCTGCTGGAAAAGTTAACGGGGGCAGTTCCTTGGCGTTTAAAGGAAAGCCAAACTAACAAACAACTTCTTGAGGTTGAAATGAAAAGTGTTTTCCCAACTTAAGGGAGCCGTTCAGTGGGTCAAAGAGAGGATATTATGCATTCTCTTTGGGTGAAAACTTTCGGAGTCAGTCCGAAAACCAAGTGAAACGATTTTCGCGCCCACAAGTGGTTGCCTTTTTAAAAAATCGAGAGTGTGGGAGTAGAAAGAGTGGAGTTCGTGTAATATGCAAATTCCAGGATTCAAACAAAGGCTTGCAGAACTGCCAGATAAAAAAAAAACAAAACATTTTCATAAAATCTTTGAACTAAGAATTTTGGGAAACTTTATTGGCATTTCTATAATTAGTTTGAGATAAAAGGTGAATTTAGGGAAAACCGAAAGGTTACATTAGTCTTTGTGAAAACAAGGATACGCGGTTGACAAACCAACCCACATAAGACCCTTAGGAAAACACTAAGGAAAAATATTTTAAAGTTCTCCATTGGTTTCGGTAACAAGCATAATGTATATAAATCGTGGTAAGAAAATGAATTTAAAATTGAAAACCTTATTGAGGTCAGATATTTCTAATAATGCTTTCAAAAGAACCATTAAAGTTATTTTGTTACTAAAATACATACACCTTCAATAATATTTACCAAAATATAAAAAAGATCCAGGTCCAAAATTTTAAAAAGTCAAACATTACAGAAGAGGAATAAATCAACGACTAGAGCACAATTTTTGATTTCGAATAAAAATGAGCCAGATCGTTAAAAGTTACATTAAACTCATTTAAATGTGGTAGAGTTTGGGTTATAGAATCAAAAGGACGTCAAAGAAATAGAGGATATCGAATAGAAACTAAAATCTAAAGAACTGGTTATCAAAATGATGTGAAACTTGGGATACAAACTTAAAATCAACTCAAAAATATGTATAAAAAATAATCTTTAAATATCTCGAAATATATGTGTTCAAATACCAAGTTTTCGATGATAATTTTGTCCCATGTAGGCCCTGTTTGCCCACACAGGCACCGTAGACACCGCAAACGTCTACACAGCAACTACAACAATGGACAGCTTGACAGACAGAAAAGAGAGGCTGTTGGAGGAGTGAGGGGGTGGCGGTGCGGGGTGAATCCGCTTTTGTTTATCTACTTTAAACTAACATCAGGCACTTTTGCCATCTAATCCTGACCAACCCGACAGCTACTTAATGTCATCAGTGTGCCACTCGGTGGCATTTTCAACAAGGACATTTGGAAGTGCACAGCGGTTCGGGAGGATGGATATCATGGGGGCACACAGAGGTCGACGACGCTAAACGTTTCCCATAGAGCTCAGATTCACCGAGTGCAAATTGAATAATCGTTTGCGCTTCGCCGCATCTGCAGAAAGGACCTTTTAAAAGTTCCCAGTTCAGTCCCTTCCGTTCCTCTGCGTTTGTGTGTGACAAATATCGATCATCAAGGCCGGCTGATGGACGACTAGGACACACAATTGTTTGGGTTTATTCTAATGCTCCGCAAAACTTCTGACCGAGTTGTCTGAAGAGTTTTCTTTTGCGAGTTTCCTTGCCATGCGTAAAACTTTTGCCGTCCCTGTTTTGTCAAGTTTGTCATTTGTTGGACATTTATAAGCAAATCCAGATTCGGATGTGGGTGGATGAGCTTTGGGTGTGGAAAAGGACCAGCTCCTGGACCCATGGACTGCGGGTCTCGTTAGCATATATTGAAGGAAGGTTTCGTTTTGTTACCGAACTCTCGAGCAAATTAAATTGAATGCCCATCCCAAGGAGTTCAACTCAACTGTGAGGGCTTTAAAAAGTATTTGCAAGTTCAGAAGTTGCGGGCGAATGTCTAATTCATTTGGGAAGTGCCTAAGCGTTATTGGACTCGACTCAAGGAGGGTCAAAAATATGGCTTAACAATCATAAATGGTTAGATGTCGTTTACAATGGCTAAGAAAAACATAGGAATTTATTTGAAAATAATAATATGAGAATTTCCCCTAATTGTAATAAACAATGCGTTTTATTACGTTTGAGTCCCAACCCTGAATAATTATGGTTTCAACTGTATAATTCTATATAGAAAGAAAACCAAAATGTTTTTTCCAGATCTGGAAAAACCATAATGAAATCAAGGATTATACTTTTTTTTACAACTTATTTAAAACAACAGAAGGTTAATCTTTCCTTATCATTATGCAGTGGTATCTTAAATTCGTATTATCTTAGGAATTGATTGTGAACTTTAACACGGTTAACTCGAGGGCACCATCTCCTTTTATTTGCACTCCGGATAAGTTGCATTTGGACTCCGCGCTTCTAACTTGAGCACCTGCTTAAACGCAGAGCACTTTTCACTTAGCCAAAACTTTGGCCAACAATAAACCAAATACCAGTGCCTGTGTGTGCGCTGAGCTCTTCGAATTTGTCTAAGATCAATTCCCGGGAGCTCGAGATTGAGGATTCCTCCTCCTCCTGCAAAGGCAAACAGTCGAAGTACCTAACTTTCGCCGGATGCCATTGAGACCTCACGAAGCCTTGGGCGCTGGCCTTTTCCTTTTCCGCTCAAGTCGAAGGCAGGTGAAATAGTCGCACGGGGCTCCCGTGCACCTGGACACCTGGGATTGCCATTGAGCTACAAAGACACAAATATGTGCATAGCATTTAACGAGTGGCCATCGCTCCTCCTCGCCAAACTCTGGACATTCGGGTGCACGTGTGGATAAAATTCAATTTCGAACCATTGACAAACAAACGTGATGAATTCCTGGACTGGGGATATAACATGGAATTAATGTGAGCCTGTGGAAGGTCACCTCTCGCTTAGACCATTCATTGAAGACCTCAATGCTTTTGTGCATTTTATGTGACCATAAATCGCCAGCATAGCCGTCTCTCTAGCCCAATCCTTTGCCCGTCCTGTAAGCTGGCGAAAATTTATGGCCAAAAGATAGATAGATATCCTCTGCTACTTGTTCACACATACACTCGCAGACCATAAAAAAGACACAGTGTCGATTGTTTTCCAATTTGTGTAATTTGTTGTTTATTTTGTTTATAACTACATCAATAAATTATGTATCGTACCGTATAATTCATAATCATACTCTTTGAAAGCGTGAGAACATTCTGGAATTGCAATTCGGCAGCTGGGTTCCTGATTCCGGTTCGAATTCATTTAGATGTGGTCATCTGCGCTGGGTTCTTGGCCCCCCGATTTTCCACTTGTGATACCAAGTTAAGTCGCTTCGTTAGGAAGTCTTGGGCGAATTTCAAAGAGTATATGCGTAAGTATGTTCGAAACATCGGCCAGCCGAAGCTTGTTGAATTTGCATTTATGTTATGATTAGCTTGATGACAACATCGAAGATCGACTGCAGGCTACTACTAAGAACCGTCTCATTCTTTGATTCTCCTTCAACTTGGACACATTTAGTTTAACTTTAGATTGATATCTGCTTGCTAGCTGGCTAGGCTGTCTAGTTACAATAATATTCATACCTAATTCTATAATTTTTTAGTTCGCGCTGCGTAAATCGTCTTTGCAATAGCTTTCTCAGATTGGCTGGGGGACTGGTTAGTATCTGTGAGCGGTTAGTTTGCATTGGGTGCGTGTGGTTTCGTGTTTTGTGGTGCGTGGTGTGGTGCGGAGAACCGAATTAATAAGGCCACTTATCCATATATATGTGAACGTACTCGTATATAGTCAATAGTCAGTTATGCACACATCCCCTGCCATCAGATTGCCAAGGACAATGGGCCCTCCACTTCGCATTTCTGATAATCCCTCGCTTTAGCTTTACTACCGCTCCGGGTCGAATCGTATCTATTGAAAAAATCGCTTTAACTCCTAGCCTTAAATAAAGTGGCCTCTAGGTATACAATATGCTTGTGTTAAGTGTGGTTGAGAGAAATTCCATAAATTTTGTGTGGCTCTAGTATTGATAAATGTGCCAAATTTGGTGTGTGTGGGTGTCTTGAATATTTATCTATCCGATAAAGCTGCAATTATTTTGCGCTTGCGCTAGTATTTAATATTGAACAATACTTTTTGTTAGTGGCGGCTACTTTTAATTATATTTATATGCTTATTAGTTCCGATTATGGGATAAGGATTCGTTTCACTTGTGGTTGTTGCTGGTAGTGCATTCGCTTTACTATTTCAGGTTACGTTTCTCATGGATTCTAATGCCATTTCAAATTGTTCATGTCGATCACTAAGCCGAGGATAATCTAATTAACTACGTTCTCATTATTGTTATGTTCAGCTCAAGTTTCTGCATCCATGTACATTTACATATGCTAATAAAAATCCAACTGCAGCGCCTCACAGGCCCATCGAAACGACGATAGAGCGAGTGAGACACCGACCGATGGATCGACTCCAGTTCATTTAACTATGTACGCTATAAATGTGTATTTGCCGATTCGCCTCTTGGCTAAATGTACAGTAACAGATATATGCCTATGTATTTAGGTTTGTATGCGGCATGCGCTATCGCTATACTCTCGCTTTCTTATGCGTCGCTTCAACTAAACTGAATAATGGGATCGAGCACTATCGACCCTATATGTACAGGATTCGTGGGGAAGTGTTCGTGTAGGTGTAGGCGGTAATACATTTTATAATTCCATATGAAGCAACAAAAATAGTCTAATTGTCGATGTAAAACACAGGAAATAAATTAAGCGCTGGCGTGTGTAAAACTATATCGAATGGTTGTTCATTAACTTTAAACATAACTCGTGTAAGCTGGAGCACGGAGATTAGCGACTGTTGCTCTGGAGACGACTTTTTGCTTGGCTGGCTGGCTTCTGATGCTGATGCTTTAGTGGTTGCTGAAGTAAAAGTTGTTGTTGCGTATGTTGCCACGGGTTCGCCAGCGGATGCAGCTGAGCAGGGCCACACGGGCTGCACGCAGCAGGATCTGGCCGTAGGCACAGCAGGCGCAGATACGCCTCACCCGCTCGGCCAGGTTCCGGCGACGGCAGCGACGGGCGGGACGATGCCAGCGGGGCAGGTCCTGCCGGCGACGCCGTCACTTGCGGCGTTGGAAGACGCGACGTAGCGCCTTGCGCCAGAAAAAGCGCTGAGACTTGGTCTTGGCATGCGTCTGCGGCTCCTCCATTTGAGCAAGTGCCACATCAAAGTCCTCCACCAACTCCAGATCCTCCTCGGGGGCGGTGCGACGGCGTGTTGGCGTGGCTGGCGCTGTGCGGGCCGTGCTCGTTGAAATGGATATGTGGGGCTGTGGTGTGGGTGGTGCTGAGGCTGTGGTCACGAATGGTGCAACCATATAGGGACGGGCCTTAAGCGCCGCCATTGCTGCCGCCGACGTGGAAGCGATTGATGAGATGGAAGCCAAAGTAGCCACCGATGCTGAAGATTCCACAAAGCCCCCGCCAACTCCTCCTTTCGCCGTTACCGCCGGTGATCCCGCTCTTAGTGCTGTCGTCCCTGCTCCTGCTTCTGCTCCCGCATCATCTGCTGTTGCTGGCTGGGTGGCACGCAGCCAACAACCAGGCTGCATCGTATCTTATCTAAGCCACGGGTGTTGCAGACACTCCGCGGCGGTGGCCCGCTTGGCCGGATCGAACTCCAGCATGGGCTTGAGGAACAAAGCAAATGACTCCGCCTCACTCTGCGACCACTCGTACTTCTCCAGCAGAACGTCCATTAGGCCCCAGGGCTTAAGGCCAGTGATGTTCCTAAGTTCACCGGCCCGGTTAAACGATTGCTGAGCATAGGTGCCGCGGAACACAATGTGTTTCGGAATGGGACCCAGCAGCTCGATGATGTGGGCCAGATGGTCCTCGTCGCGGGAGTAGGTATCGCCGGAGTGCGGCTCAAACAGGTAATCGCCGGTAGCCAGCTCGAACACCATGCACGCAGTGCTCCAAATGTCCGCCGAGGTATCGTATCCGGAACCGAGAATTACTTCCAGCGAGCGATACTGGCGCGTCTGTATGTCCTCGGTGAAGTGGCGATCCACCCAGCAAGCGTTGCCCAGATCGGCGATCTTAACGAATACGTTGCATTCCTCCAACGCCGGATCTCGTCTGGCCCTGTGTTTTGCTTGCGGTGGCGGAGGAGGCGGTGGCAGCATGGGCTCAGAATACGGTCCATTGGTGGCCGACGATGAGTTCTCCACGGAACCGCTTGAGATTTTCGAATTGCTATTCGAGTTGGGCTTAGAACTAGAGTTGTTGTTGTTCAGCTGCTGATTCGATGACTGCTGCTGCTGCTTTTCCAATTGTTTCTCCTGCTTGGGTCGCAACGGCATCTTCTTGCCGTTTGATTGTCCTTTCAATGTGCCGCTCGAGATGCTGTTGGAGTTGCTGTTGCTAATGCTACTGCTGCCATTGGTCTGGTGGCTCTTGAGGGCGCTGCTGCTGTCGCCGCTGCTCGTGGAGTTCTCCAGTAGCGGAGGCTGCTGAGCTTGCAGCTGGTTAGATTTGTCTAAATAAAAAATGGTTAAATTTGCATTAAAAAACAGAAAGCAATAACGACTAAAAAACACAAAATTTACCCAAAAGAAAACAAAACACATATCTGGTTGATTAACCATTTCTGCAAAAAACACAAAGTTGGGTGCTATTATTGCACAACCGCAAGAGGGTTTTCCTACATATGTAACTTGCGGTTGAGAAACGGGCACATCTGAACATTTTTTTTGGCTTAAAACCATTTTTGCGGCTGTGGTACTGCTAGCTCCAGCTTATTTTTACTTACTTTTATTCTTCTTTTTCTTCTTCTTTTTGGCTTTGTCAGCGCCCTCAGCCAGCGATTCCTGCTGCTGTGCCTGCTCCTTGCGCTCCGGACGCTCCTTACGCTCGTGACGCTCCTTGTGTATTGGCTGCTCAGCAGCTACATCCTCATCATCGTCATCTTCATTGTCCTCCAGCTCCTGCTTCACCTCAAAGTACTCATCCCCATCGGAGATGCCAGCATCGCCGTTCTGCACCTCATTATGATTAACGCCGAAGTCCGTCTGATCCTCGCCAGCATCCTGGCCCTCGCCCGTCTGGCCACCCGCCTGCTCCAAGTAGTCTCTCTGCTTCTTGAACAGCTCCATGCGCTTCTTCGCCTTCTTTTTGAGCTTTTTCTTTCGGTTCTTGCTCATTTTGCCAGTTATGGGCGGCTCGCGATATTCCTTGGGTGCTCGGCTCACCAATGACGGATACATCTTGGAGTTCATGCAGTACAGCTGGGTGGCTTCAGTGGCCAGCGAACGGACATGTGGCTCGTCCACGCACAGTAGCACATTCTCGGGCTTAATGTCCGTGTGGATAATCTCGCAGCATGTGTGCAAATAGTCGAGACCCTCCAGCACTTGACGGGTGATGGTCTTTACGTTGGCCAACGGGATGCCGCGGTAGTTGGACTTCCGGATGAGCTTTAGCAAATTGTCGCCGAGCACCTCAAACACCATACAAATGTGGGTGCCATTAACGCCGGTGATCTTGAAGTCGTCCAGCAATTGGACCGTCTTCTGGCGACGTGGATTCGATGGATCCATGTTGCGCACCGTCCTTAGTATCCTAATCTCATCCTTGGCCGTCTCAGCAAAGTGCGGCGCCGACTTGACAATCTTGATTGCCACATAGCTCTTCTCCTGCAGATCCCAGCACAGCCAGACGGTGGAGAAGTGGCCCCAGCCCAATTTTCGGATGACGTGGTAACGCCCTGCAGAACAAAAATTGCATTAATCTCGTGCCGTTCTCGTCAAGGGACAAAGTTCAAGGGATTGGGGGAGAGCAACACAGAACCACTTAGGAAAATGAAATCACAAATGTTCGCCTCGGATGGCAATAAATCCATTTTAATCGCATCACAGTCACATCACGACTGACCCAGCGAAAAGCCAACCGCGAGGTCTACTCTCCGCTTGAATTCAATTAAAACCTGACTGGCAGTTGCAGTTGAGTGCATTATTTTTGCGGGGAACTCTTCTGCTGCGTAGCCTAAAGGCCTGAAAGAGGCCAAAAAATGTTGGTCATGCTACACTTTTCACAACATAATAAATATCCTGTCGAAACTTTCGGTATGAAGCAAAAACCAACAAGATACTTCTTCCTTTGAGGACTTAGTGCTTTTAAGAGTTCTCAAATATAAATTTTAAAAGCTGAATATTAAGTCTACTCAATCTAAAACATGTTTTTGTATGCTATGTTCATTTAGGAAAGGTCTTTCGAGTTGATATATATCGCTACTTATCGTAAAGGGAAATACAACAAACTCCTGCAGCTTTTTATAAAACGTGTGATAATTCTAATTTTCTGGTATAGCATAACATATTAATATTTAGTTTTTATAATCCTCCTACTATTTTCCCATTCTTCTGTGAAATATTATAAACCTATTAGGAATCTATTAATAAACATTCCTTGTTATTAATCCGCTTGAATTGCAAAGAAGACCCAGAGAGAGGGGCGGGAAACCTGGTCGATTCAGGTTATAATATGCAGCACTATCAGCCGATTTTGGGGAGCTTAGTTGGCCGTTATCAGGCTCTCACTCCCTTATCGCTGACAAGCGATTGCTTGGATTTTCTTTCGCCAAAAGCTCCAGAGCCTGAAAATGGATGTGGAAAGCGGAAAGTGGCAATCCGGCAGCTGGCATTGTAAAATGGATGGATAAGACATGCAAGCAAGAGGGGTGGAGTTCCGGGCTTATGTTGGCGACAACGTTTGGAGGTGACATCCCGCCCCCAAAACGCTTTGCTGTTGCTATTGTTGTCGTCGCCACAACACGAGGCAGGCGCCTCCTTCCTCTTGCCTCGACAAAAACAACCCTTGCCCGAAAGGGGGGCGGAGGAGGTCTGGAAAACCACCCGCTGTGCGTTCGATTTATCTGAGCTGTGCGCCTTTGGCAACCTGTTGTTGTTGGTGGTTTTTTCGGTTTCGGGTCTGGTCGGGTCGGGAAATGCCAATATGTGGGGGGTGCCAGCATACAAAACGGGCTAACAGGTGCCTTACCCTGAAACAGGTCACCGATGTTGACGGGGTGGTAGCCACCCTTGCAGTAGTCCTCCTTGAGCTCCTGCTCCTCGTTCTCGCTGTTCATCTCGGATTCGTAGGACTCGTTGGAGCTGCTCCGCGGTGCCTGCTGCTGCTGCTGCTGCTGCTGCAGGTGCTCCTTCTGTGAGTTGGATGATTTCGACTTAGACTTGACCTGCACTTGGGACTGTGACAGCGACTGCGTCTGGGACTGCGACTGGGATGGTTGATATTGTTCGGGGGTGCCTCCTGATCCACCGCTGGATGTGGAGGCCGTTGCCGTTGCATCGACCTTCCTAAAGGCGGCCGAAATGGGCGCATCCGCATGGCTATTATTAGCATTATCCGGTGCCTGCAAGTTCTCGCTGCTCCGATTCGACTGGGAATTGGGAATCAAGTTCTGGCCGGGATTCGACTGCTGCTCCTGGCCGTTCTGCTTGCCCCGCTTCTTGTTGTTCTTATGGCGCTTCTTCTTCGCCTGAATGGCCAAAACACGGCGGTTGACGTCAGCCTTGTTCATTTCGCTGTTGCTTTCGGCTTCTATTTTACAATTTTGCCCTCTATTTCCGCCAGGTGTAACAGCTGTTGTTCCCGAATGGGTGGAGAAGCAGAACCAGAAGCAGAAGCAGTAGCAGAGGGAGGAGAGAAGAAGAAAAGTGGTTAGGGGCGGGTTGATAAACGAGGAAGAAGCGGACGGGCGAAGAAGAGAACAGACAACGTGCACAAATCTCAATAAGGCAATGTTCGAGGTTCACGCTTGTCTCGCTGTTTTTCTTGCTTTTGTTGGCTGCCTCTGCCCTGTTTTTCTCGCTGTTCACTTCTTGGCCCTTTCGTTTCGCACCGCAAAAACGGCAAATGCTGATCGGCCAACTTCAGCCAGTTGTCTACTTGCCTAAGAATTCCACTTGTTTCCAATTAACACGGCTGCTGGTTCGATTTCTGCTCAAAATTAGCACAAAATAATCTTCGCTAAACGCCCAGAGTGACCGTAGCAGGAACTGCACAAAATACCCTTGGCCTCTGGAAAAGACTGCAAAGAAACACGGAATCAGTGATGGCAAAATTTAAGACTAGTCAAACTCGGGGTGACTGAAATCTCCTTGAGCGAATTTCCGGCGAAACTTGTACATACAAGCTGAAGTACATTTCCCCCGAATTTCGCCCGAACAGAATCCAGTGACACCCCCGACAATGTTAGGTTACCTATCGAGTGAGCCAATAACCCGATTGCTCCAAAAAAGGGTTTATACTTGGTTAAATCCATAAACAGGGTCTTAGCTCGTAATTGGTACGATAAAGACGCCACCAATATTTTTTAAACCGAAAAGCATGTTTTAGACGATTTTTTAAAGCATATGTGTTATCACTTCTAGACGAACTTTTTCGGGTTGGACTGCGTTTAAAGTAAATAAAAATAAAAATTAAATAAAAATGCATTGTTGTATTCTTGTCAGTCTAAGTTGTGCCGAAAAAATCACGCCGACAGTCCAACAAATTTTAAAAACAACTTAAAAACTCACAAATACCAAAAGCCCAACCAAGATTACTTTTGCCCACCTCTAGTTGCCCATTACAAAAATAGTAAAAAAAAAGAAGAGTTAGCCGCATAACTAAACCAGCCCTAAAATGAATTTATTTTAATAATTCATATATAACATTGGCAAATTGGCAACAATAGAAATAAGAGCAAGAACAGGTGTGCATGGAAAAAAAATCATTTAAATAAAAATCATGTATATGAAATATAATTATTGTGCAATATGTCCAGTTAAATTTCTGGCAAAAAAAATATTAAAAATACTACCAAGTTTGCCCAAACACAAATTGGTTGTTGACTTCATTTTAATAATTAGAACATTTAAAAGTGGCTAGAAATAGCTTATAAAAATGGCTAGGGTACGCAACACTAAGCACAAGGTCTGCTTTAGCGGGGACTCGAACCAACGAATAGAACAGTGACAAAACGTAACGTAAGTGGCCTCCTTACCTACGCTCGACTGTCTCGCTCGCACGCTGCAACCAGCTAGCGGCATCTCGCTCGCACCTAATAGTATTTGATTTGCTTGGAATTTTTGCGCATCGCCCAAAGCTCTCAAAAATGCCGTTTCCAGCAACTTACCTGGCTTCGCAGGTGGCCGCGGACTAGGCCAATGACATCTCGATTCGCCGGCGTTGCACAGCGGCCGCAAATGCAGCTGAAACGAGTGAAAAACACGCGCACAACGAAAAATCCGCAAGTGGAAAAAACTGCTACGGAAAAAGCAACTCTGTGAGCGATAGTGTTGCAAGTCGACAGAGGCAAACAGCTGATTGGCCAGTGTTGCGGGAAAATCGTATTTCAGCAACTTACAACACCATTAGCGTTTTGGCGCAATTTTAGTTTTTGGAGGGAAACTGCATCTAGTGAAAAATCGTGGCCAGTTGTAATTCGAGCAGCGCGCTGCCACGACGTGGTCATAAGATAAAAATAAAAATTAACCCAGACTAGTGATTAATAACCATCTTTCATACGTGTGCCCAATATTCAGCAAATAGAGAACCCGCGCTGCAACCATTTCAATCAACTACTATTGCAATTAGGAATAAATACAATGGCCCAGCCATCGGTAGCTGCATTCTTCACCAACCGCAAACGCGCCGCCTTGGATGATGCCACCAGCATCAAGAACCGGGTAAGAGATCCCTCCCAGCATCGTTCGCGGTCAGATACTTTTGTATCTGCAAGAGCGTTCTGCCAGTGCAGCCATCTTAAAAGTGGCTTTGCTTTTCCACAGCGTCTGGCGGAACCAGCCGAAACAGTCGCCCCCGCCCCCGGCCCCGCCCCTTCACAGCTGCCCGCCGGCAACCAGGATGAGGATGCGGATATGGACAACCTCAAGGCCATGCCCAGTGGCATTCGCACCCGATCCGGACGCACTACCCGCTTAATAGTGACCGCCGCCCAGGAGAGCGGGAAAAAGAAGACTCCTTCGGCCGGGAAGATGGAGGCCCACATCAAGCAGCCCAAGCTGGTGCAGTTCATCAAGAAGGGCACTCTGTCGCCCCGGAAACAGGCCCAGTCCAGCAAGCTGGACGAGGAGGAGCTGCAGCAGCAGTCATCGGAGCAGACGCCCAAGGTGAACTTCACCATCACCAGCCAGCAGAATGCGGACAATGTGCAGCGTGGCCTGCGCACGCCCACCAAGCAGATCCTCAAGGAAGCCTCGCCCATCAAGGCCGATCTGCGCCGCCAACTCACCTTCGACGAGGTGAAGACGAAGGTTTCGCGCAGCGCCAAGCTGCAGGAGCTGAAGGCGGTGTTGGCCAGGAAGGCGGCTCTCGAGCAGAAGCGCAAGGAGCAGGAGGAGCGCAACCGGAAGCTCCGAGAGGCCGGCCCCTCGCCCTCCAAGTCGAAGATGAGCGTGCAGCTCAAGGAGTTCGACACCATCGAGCTGGAGGTGCTTACAAGGTGAGCATGAGCTTATATAAGAATGGGGATCTTAAATCATTTAAAAGTTGGGTGTGTTCTTTATTACTTATCCTTGTCCCAGCTTCTTAAATTAGGATCCTATAGATTCATAAGTATTATAAAAAAGTTAGATATAGAGTATCTTAGCTTTTCTAGATGAAAGGCTGTAAAGTTGCACTTAAGTTCTCTCCAGGCTTTTACTCATTTGTGATAATGAAACCATAAAACCATAAGCTGGCTTAAACTTTTATATCGCATAGTCCCATTTTAGTCCTGTGTGCTTAAAAGATTAATTTTAGAATGCTGTGGTAATCCTGTTTTAAGTAAAATAGTCATGTCATAAAAAAAATATTATCCTGTACAACTTTAATGATTGTACCCAGTTTGGTATGAGCCATGTAAATGAGCTTTGTTGTAAGAAGCTGAAGATATGTGCCTGCCACAACAATTTCGACTTGGCTGGCTGGTGGCCTAGAATCGGCATAAACAAACCACCGAGTGCGGAGTGCGGACTATGAAAAAACCGGGTAACATCATTTAGCGAAAGGCCAGCAGTTGCTGCTGTGCAGTTCTGCAGCAATCGAGGTCGCTCTCCGGGTCTCCGGGTTATTCAAGCGCTCGACTGCTGAGTTCGCATATTCTCCGCCCAAGAGTATCAGTCACCGACGGCTTGGCTTTGGCTTTGGCTACACATATAGTGCTGCTGATTCGTGACGTCTGTACAACATGCATAAGTACTCAACTGGCTGACTGACCCTCCCCATTCGACGCAGTGTGTGTATCGCTATGCACTATATGTTTACCCTTCGCAGACGTTACAATCTTGCCTGACCTTCCCTTTGAAAATGCGGTTCTCCGCCCGCATTCGGGGGTTGCTCTCGCTCTCTCCTGGAAAATAAGGATCTTAACTGCTGTACTCCATGGGAATGTCTAAAATTGTTTGCATTTTGGGTCTGCCGCTCAGGTAGCAACCTTTTTTCGTAACGGTTTTCTTGAAGGAGCGTCCCGAGCAGCAAATGGGAACTATGTTCGAATAGGAAGAAGGAGGAGAAATCCCTTTTCCTATGTCAAACCGGTTTGAAAAAAGGACTAGAAAGTTTGTTTTGGTTTTTCACACATGTATATATTTTTTAAATATCAAAAAATTATCAGCAATGACGTTAATATACGTACTAGTCCAGTCCTTGTACTAACACGGCTTTCTCCTGTATGATTTTAAGGGTATTTATTTATTTATTTAATAGGATAAATAAATACATTTTATTTATTTTTCTAGCCTGTCTAGTAAATTCTTATTAAAACACACATTTATAATTACTTATTGTTTATTTTAAGTACACATACTTAAATTGCCCAAAAATAATAAGTGTTATAATAATTTATTATTTTAATTCATCTGATTATCTGATAATATCTTTAAAAAATAATATTAATTTCGCTAGAAATATTACTCAAGTGGATATTATTGGTATTGGATTGTCTTTTTTTACTCAGTTAATCGAATTAATTTTTGAGTCATTGAATAAATATCAAATAATCACTGACTTACATTTTATATCACATAGATATTACTTATTTTTAGTACTTACTAGAAAAAGCTTTTTGGATACGAAGAAGATTTAAAACTAATCAGCACAATAAATATAGAAAAAATAGCACCATACCTGTGGGTGCATATATACATTTAATATTTTAAAAGATATACTTAGTTCAAATGTGGTCATGACCTCGATTACTTACGATCCTCCCTGTTTCTCACTTTTAGCCCCTTAAAGACCTTTAAGACGCCCACAAAACTGCCGCCACCCACCCCGGACAAACATGAGCTTATGTCGCCGCGCCACACGGACGTCTCCAAGCGCCTGCTCTTCAGTCCGGCCAAAAACGGATCCCCGGTCAAGTTGGTGGAGGTTCCGGCCTACAAGCGGTATGCCAGTTTGGTGGAAACCAGCCGGGCCGGCCAACTCCCCTTGCCGTACAAGTACCGGCACTTGCTGGACGTGTTCAAGGGCCTCGACTCCGTGGTGGCCATGTTCCACAACCGCAAGGAGACCATCACCTACAAGAAGCTGAAGCCCGCAGTGCAACGCATGCTGCGCAAGAACTTCACCGAGACCCATTTGGCCCAGATCAAGCATGTCTATCCGGAGGCCTTTATCTTCAGCCAGGTTAAGACGCGCAACTTTGGATCCGTGTCCAAGGCGGACTACTTCCAGCTGATCATCAGCCCCAATGTGGAACCACTGCCCGAGCAGCAGCAGTCGGAGAAACCACAGCGTTTTGGCAAGGTCGACGAGGACGATGTGCTCGCGTCGGCCCAGTCGACGTCTATGAATCCACACGTCATGACGGCGCGCATGCAGCGCTTCCAGAGCCTGCTGCTCGAGCGGGTGATGCGGGCGCACGACCAGTTCCTGCGCTCCCAGGATCCACCGATCATCATCGAGAAGGCCCTGACTCGCTGGCATCCGCAGTTCGATCTGGAGAGCTGTCCAGAGGTGGAGCTGGCCCCGCTGCCCCAGCCGCCGAATGTGGAGAAGTACTCCTCGGCCAAGGATATTCTATCCACCGCCCGAAATCTTTTCAACTGCGCCACGCCCATGGAGAGAGCTATGGATCGTTATGAGGCCAAGTTGGAGGCAGACAAACAGGCGGCTGAAGGCAATAAGAAGGCAGAGGAGCAGCCACCAGGTGTAGTAACCACGACAAGTACGGGAACTCAGGCAAGTAAGGACGTGCCTGGAACATCAAGATCGCCAGCCAAACCTGCTGCTCCTGAAACCACCGACCAAACAGCCACTGCCAAGCCGACGGTGAAGGAGTGCACTGCCCCGGATGCCGGCTCCAATCTTCTGAAGGGCCTGCCAAAGTCCCTGATTGATAAAATCCGAGCCAAACAGGCGGCTAAAGCTTTGGAGGCGATGACTCGGCGTCCCTCGCAGGACCAGGAGGCCACCAAGTACTCACGTTTGCCCGAATTGGCCAGACATCTGAGGAATGTCTTTGTCACCGAGCGAAAGGGCGTGCTCACCCTGGAAGTGATCATCAAGAAGATCCAGAACAGCTTCCGGGCCAACCTCACGCCGCAGGAGATCGAGGCGCATTTAAAGCTGCTCGCCAAGGAGCTGCCTAGCTGGGCATCATTCCATGAGGTGCGCAAGACCATGTACCTCAAGGTCGCCAAGGACATGGACATGAACAAGATCATCGAGAAGCTGGAGAGCGTGGCGAACGCAAAGAGCAATTGAACCGGATACACGGAAACGCAACCAGGACGCGGGACTCCGTCGAGCAATGACCCTGTGGCTACATCCAGCTATATATTTAAGTACTTGTTTAACTAGCTAGCCAATACATAACAAAAACAAACGGATTAGGCTAAGCTCCTTGTGCTCTAACCATTCTGACTTTTTTATACTGAACAAGCACCTTGACAACCGCCTGGATTGGATTCATCACATTTACCCACGCAATTATTATTACTATACTTTTTGGACCAAGCGTTTATACATTCATACATATATTGTAGTTTTAAGATCATTTTTCATGTTGTACCACGTTGAATAAATAAATATTTTTGCTGGAAAGTTAATAATTTTCATCTTAAGAAAATTTATATACCAATTGCTTACCATCCCGCAAGTCCTTGCTACTAAAAGTCTTGTCAGACATAACCGGTCCTGGCAACCTAATACCTGGGGTACCCCACGCGTGTTGTGCGCCTTTTGCGGGCCACCCCCACAACCAAACCCTGGTTCCGGCACTGATCTTACCCAATCCATGATCAGCAAAGAAGAAAGTACACAAAGGTCAACCA